AAATTTAGAAAATGACTACTAGACTAACAAACATCATCATCATATTCATCATATCGTGAAGATTATGTTAAGAATAGTGAAGAGAATATGAGAAGTGAAAGATAAAAATATTAAGAAGGGAGAATAGAAGATGAGAATTGAATTGTATGGGTTAAGAAAAATCACATTTTATAGAGTAAAAACTAGCCGTTAATAGTGGTGTAAACATCCGTTATATTACCGTTAGAAGTAGAAGAAAAATTACAATTGTATACCTCAAATGATGTAGAAAAATAAACAGATGAAATAGTAATATGCATGCATAAAGTGCAATGAGAAATTATTACCTACAGGCGGCATAGCCGTCCATTTATGAGAATACAAATATGTCAAACTACTCGGTAAATCTTTTAAATAGTGTATAATGATAAAATTATAAAAATTATAATACGTTCGTGGCATAGCCCTCTTTTGTATGGATATAAAATAACAGAGAACTACTATTCATGACACATATGTATGACCTAGCTAATTTGGATAAGTTGGGTAAATGGTGGAGATTTAGAAGAAAAAGTTCAACTTAGTCCCATAAATAGACATAAGTACTAATTAGCACATTAGGCTTATTGGTTGGTAACTATAGTTTAATAAAACCGACTTTAGCTTTAATTTGAGTCTTTTCAAACAGTTACCCTCTTAGTTGTCTTCTTTTTTTTGTGTGTCAATTATGGGAACTCAATCCCATCAATTGGTCATAGCAATACCACAAGATGATACATGGAGCCATAGCCTCCGCAAAATGATTTTCAATTGTGCGAATCAATAGTTGTGGGCCCCCCATTTCCATAATTTCTCATTGAAAGTAATGTCTAATTCTTAGACCATCCAAGAAAATGTGTCAAAAGGGCCATCGTTAGCAAATGACCAACTCCAATATGTATGCTTGACGCCGACATTCGGTTATTTTCTCACCGTGAATCAATCTTCGATTTCCCCAATATATAGAGTTCAATTATATTATCTTCATGACCTCACTTTCTCTTCCCCATAGTTGCTCCAATCACTTGAATAGAATGCTTGATAAAATCATTTCCAAATAATAATAATAATAATAATGAGGGTAAAGAATGCTTGATTAAAAAAAAAAAAAAAAAAAAAAACCACAATTCCGCTTTTCAAAAACGGAAATGGAAATGTTAGCCGTGTATGCAACTTGGTAAATCTCTTCCGTTACCTATCATACATGTGCTCAAAGGGATTTTTGGTTTAAAAATAAATAATAAATAATAAAAAATAAAAAAATATATTATGGAACTAAGGTGGGCTCAAACTAGGGGTGGTAATTCGTATCACGTGTCGTGTTCGTGTCGTATTTTGATCTTTTTTTTTTAATTTGCAGTCAACCCGAACACGACCCGTGACACGAAATTTTTTAAAAACCGCAACACGAACACGACACGATCACTTTATGAGTTCACACGACACGACTCAAAAATGACTCGTGACACGAAATTGACCCGTGAATCCGAAATTGACACGAAAATTGTATATTTTTATTTAGCTTTTTACATATTAAAAATAACTTAAAATTCATAGCACACTAAATTATAATAACATCCATTGAAATTAAGCAAATAATAGTATAAGATTTTGAGTATAACTATCATGATATCATAAGTTCATAATAAAATTTAAAATATGAAATGAAAATATATTTATTTTTTAGTTTTTTACGAGTTTCGTGTCGTGTTCGGGTTAGGCGGATCCAACCCGAAATTGACCCGTGTTTTTCGTATCAATTTTAGGTTGACCCGATTCTGATTCAAACCTCTTTTTTCTCAACCCTAACCCGCAAAATTCGTGTCGTTTTCGAGTCGTGTTGTCGTGTCGTGACCCATATTACCGGCCCTAACTCAAACCTATATCATATCCTCACTCAATAAAAAAAAAAAAAATCTTAAGATCTAGCGTCTTATCAGTTCGACCACCAAAACAAAATGTGTTTAAAGTTAAACCTAATAGAGTAAGGGCAATACGCCAAGACCATGTCCATAGATCTCTATATTATCTCTTCTAGTTCGATGAGAATAAATCAAGCTCTAAAGAACATTTGTTTTTGGCAACAATGGAAGATAAAGGGACAACCTTAAATGTCACTAATTCCAAGCAGTTCTAATTAAGATATCTCATTAAGAAGAAGTCTGTATTTAACACTCCTATAAAAATTCACTTTTGCATACAACTATATTTAGCAATAGTTTAAATTAAATTGTATTTATCTCAACTTAAGAGTTTTTTAGTTTTGAGAGATTTGATAAGTCCAGTAACTTATCCGGTTATAATAATATAATAAAATCTATTGATATTGCTTCTTACTAATATAATTTCCTTTTCTTCTTGCGTGAATTTAGGTAATATTCTCAAACCACGTTAAATTATTATTTCTAATTTCCCCCTTTATTTTCTTTTTATTTTCGACAAATATTATTTGAAACAATTCACAATAATAGAGAAGAAACTTACTAAGCTAATCTTTGAAATTTACCAACTACAACTGGTTCACTGCTATAACCAAGTTATGAAAAATCATTACTCAAGATTCAAATCCAGATTCGTGTGAGAGAGAGAAAGAGAGAAGATTCTTGTCTTAGATTTATCAGTTACTGTATAACAAGCTTATTTAGCTTCTCTTGAATAAAAGCAAGTTTTCACTTAAATAAAAAAAAAGTTCTTTTTTTTTTGTTTTGGAGAAAATTACGTATTCAATCTTTTTTTTTTATTTTGCTATATTACATTTATACCACTTAAAAGATAAATTAGCGCCATTTAAGATTTTTTTTTTACTAATTTAATAAAAAGATGTTTTTACCATGCCACTTCAATAACATAAATGTTAGTTAGAACTATTTTGAGTGGCATTAAAAACCTTAAAATGCATGCGCCTATTGGAGGGTTCAGTTTGGACGGGTTTTTTTAAAATCACCAATTAAATTAAAAATAATTTTTTAAAACGGTTTGGGCAGTTTGATATTTTTAACAAAAACTAAATTGAATTAAATTACTCATAAGCGATTTGAGCACTTTGGTTTGGGCGGTTTAAGCTCAAGTTTCAATAATTCATAAAAATTATAAAAGCTTTAATCAATAAAAATAAAAATAAGATTCAAGTTTACAATACAACTCAAAAATAGTAAATGTCTAACAGTTCACCATTTAAAGTTTTAATACAAATCAACAAAAATATGATATAGTGTATTTTATAAGTGTAGAACCTTTATTATGACAAATAAAAAATAAAATAAATATAAAAGCATTTTAAAAATTAAAAAATTATGTCTAAATAGCCTAAAAAAGTTAGATTAAAAAACTGATTAAACCGGCTAATTATTCAAAAATAATTAAAAATTTAGTTTGATTTAATTTAAATTCGACGGTTTTTGTAGTTTCGCCGATTTCCCCTAGCAGAATATTAGGCATGGACTATCATATCAACATCTCAATATTGGGCTTGATCACCAACTCCCAAAGAGTGCTCCATAGCATGCTCGCATGGGAAATAAATTAGACGAGACTTCAAACATCGAACACCATCTGTAACACTCATAGCCCACATGCGTAATAGCAGGTTTGCTTGTTGCCCAAATCTCTGAATTGGGCTCATTTAATTCTTTTACTCTAAGTCCGCAACACAATATTACTAGCCCAATTTCTCAAATAATTAAGCAGAAGAGAAAACAAGGTAAATACCCCTCAAATAGGTACCCAATCTATTTCTAACCCTAAAAATTAGCACATTGATTTCTACCCTTTTATAATTAAATAATAAAATTGATTTCTACCCTTTTATAATTAAACAATAAAAATAGTTAAATTAAACATTTTTAAAATTTTAAAATTACCCTTAATAGTTCATTAGTAAATTATAAGATATGCCGGCAGTCTCTTGTCACCGGCCGACCACAAGCGATAGCCGGCCGGTTATAACCAGATAGACCCTTTTATAATTAAATAATAAAAATAGTTAAATTAAACATTTTTAAAATTTTAAAGTTGCCCTTAATAGTCCATTGGTAAATTATAAGATATGCCGACAGTCTCTTGTCACCGGCCGACCGGTTATAACCTGATAGATTACGCGGATCGCCGGCCAAAAACTAATAACTTATGATCCATAACCTGACAGATTACACCGGCCGCCGACCTCCGGTCACCGGCGTCAATCATAGTATGATCCAGCAGGTTATGATTCATAATCTGTGGGTATTTTAGTCTTTTCAATTTGTGATGAAAATATCTCATATAAATGAAAGGGGTAGAGTTTTTTAAAAGGGTAGAATTAAGAGGTTTGATTATTATGAGGTAAAACATTTAATTCTCTCTAATGAAAATTAGCGTACTAATATAAAATCTAAACTCATAAACCAATAAGTTTAACAATTTTCTCTATATATAATCTTTCTAGAAAAATTACACTACATGACAAAATTTCATATTTGGTTACACTACATGACAAAATTTCATATTTAGATTGAAATTTAATAAACTTTTTAAAATTCTATAAATATAGTAAAAATTACATAGTTATTATTTCAATAATATTAAATTTTACTTTAGTTATAATATTTCAAAAATTTTGCTGTACTTAAACTCTACTATCTAAATGTTGCTATAGGTGTAAAGTGCCCATCTTTCCGTGTGACATAGCCCATATGAAATGATCATTGGAAAAACCTCGACAGGTAAGTAAAGACTAAAGACTAAAGAAGCTTGTAATTCCTCCCCCCCAAAAAAAAAAAAAAAAAAAAAAAAAAAAAAAAAGAAAGAAAGAAGGAGCTCTTCATTCTATCTGTGTACAAATACAAACGAAAAATCTTGACCTAGATGTATAGATTGCTTTTCATTACAAGCATTACAACCACTTTAAAAAAGTAAGAAATGATCCCAAAATTTCCAACGCATGCAAGTATATGACACAACGACTAAGAAATATGTAAGCATTTCATCATCAATATTAATTGGCCAAATTCCGGAATATACACAAGAGAAAATTACAATTATTTGCCTCCCTCCTTTTTCTTTCCGGGAAAGAAGCAATTCAATGTCAGTAAAGTGCGCATTTCAGCATATACATCATGAAGCTAGCATATATATATATATATATATTATAAGCATATATATCTTAATAAATAGTTTTTATCGTCGTCAACAGGAGCAACATGATTTGGAGAATGTACATTGCATATTCACCTCAGTCATCCCTGTAAAATTGTCCTGAAAGATTATCCATCACCGAGAATTGCATGTTCTCCGACGGCTTCCAATGGCGCTTTCTTTGGTTTATAAACCAATTGTTAATTTGCTTCTGATCTAATCCCGTTGTTTCAGCCAGTGCATTCTTATCTGCTTCCTGGAATGTTAAAAATACAAAAATTATTATTTCATTCAATAATCTCAAGCTTTCTTAGTCCATGTTCTCACAATACATAAAATTATGTATCACTAGTTAGTTTACCGTTGGATAGGGCCATTTATAGTGAACATTCCACCAATCAAGAAGGGTTTGCCTTGCTTCTCTAGGTAGCTTTCCTTTCTTTTTCTTCTTAGAGAACTCAAGCTTTAAGGTACTTATATGGCCGCCAAACCTACGTAAAAGTCTATCTTTGAGGTCTCGATCTTCGACTCTCAGTTGCGGCTCTTGTCCCTCTACCTCTCCACCACTAAACTCCTCCTCCGACGATACAGCACCGTCGTCTGCCCATCAGATCAATGTCACGCACAAAATTTCGACTCAAAATAAACACATAATAGATTTCTGACCAACACAATACCAAACATTATAAAGATGGCCGGGAACATGTAAATCCAAGCCATGAAATTTGAGACGTACCATAAAATCAACTAATTATACACATTGAAAATTAACAGTGAGTTAAATTTTAGCAATATCTAGCTTTCCTTAGAATTTGCCAAAAGCCTGGAAGCACACATTGAACAATATATTTAAAAAGTGAAATTGTTCTCTCTCTTTACAAATGTCAATAAAGAATTAATTAATTACAAGAAACATGGCTCTAGATCTTATTGTTAGCCAGTTAGCAGTAATGACACGCCTTGATTGGCCCTATGGAATCAATTTAAACTAAACTACTTAGATATGCTTCATACTTTAATTGGTGTTGGCGACAAATTATCAAACATGGGAACTATTGTGCCTTTATATATACTAGTAATTTGATTATTTATCATATCATAGGCAGCTATCCACAAGTCATTCTGCGCATGAATAACAAATGAAATTTATCCACCGGTTCAGAAAATTATCCAAACGAATCAGGAATATTTTAATCATAATACAAAAGGGTGCTGAGGTTGAGATTACAAACAAACGTTGTTATTCCTGTACCACGAATATTCTTGGTAAATCAAAAGCTATGATATGTTAAAGCACCCAACCATTAGTCATTTTAATTGATAATTGAGACTGATTCAAATCAAGCCAAAGATGGATATGCTATTCCAGTTCCAAACGCTCATTAGAAATAATAGAAAAAAATAAATAAATAGATAATAGTATTATAAACAAATAAAAAAGAAGAGATTCCTCACACGTAGCTGTAAAGAAAATTCAACAACCAAATATACGTACTACCCCCCCTTTCCCCAGCAAAAGAAAAAAGGAGAAAAGCAAAACATATATTGAATGTTTGCATATACGTGTCCATATATATATATATATATATATATATATATGTATATATATGTAAGGATTGATTCGATAAATATCTTGAAATACAAGCTAGTTCAACATGCTTCTGAAGTTTGTAAGTCATTTTACCCCTTAACTATACAAAATCATTCAAAACACCCATGTCTATAGTACTAACAAAATCAACAAAAACGATACGTGATAGTATTTATGATTTGCATAAATGCCTCATGAATTATATATTTTAAGCTAATTTTGTCTCCCGAACTATTTATTTTGTGTCAACTTTGCATTTCTAGAGACTGGAAAAAGTTGACACAAAATTAATAATTCGTGAATTTTATAATCCCGTTCATTTTACTGATTCGAATTATAACTCTATTTCTTATTACAGTATTTTTTTTATAGCAAAAAGTCATGTGTTGACTCTCGTAAAGTCACGTTTCTAACTCGAATGATAAAACTCAATCGACGAAACGACCCAAGCCATATTAGTTCAAGAGATGTTTCAAAGGATTTGTAAAAAAGAAACATACATTATGCACAGTTAATTGATATATAATTTTGCGGTACATGGTACTGACGATGAAAATATTTAGCAAGCAAAGCAATGAATCTGCCATGGGAGCAGCAAACACAAAAAGCATGCAAGGTCGGCCCCCCCCACAACAATAAAAGCCAGGTTCAGAGAGAGACTCCCGGTAAAAAGAGGGACCCCCCAGCCATGCTGATCTTTAGCCGACGATGATTTTGACGCCAAAAGATGTTGGCTGAACTTTCAATATCAAAGCCTAAAAACTAGAGAGAGAGAGAGAGAGATAAGGGGTTGGGGTGGGGGGCTTTGGGGGAGTGCTGGCTTGATCTCTCTCTCTCTCAGTGTCTGGTCGCGTCGTTTGTCAAGTCAGAGTAAGAGTGGGAGTAAGAGTGAAAGAGACGCTCTTTAGTCAGAGAAGACAAGACGGTACGGCCATCAAATCAAATCATAACTCAGTACAGAAAGCGATACTGAGAGAGAGAGAGAGATAAGTTGGAGAGATTGAGATAAAGAGATCGTGGGTGAACCTAAGGGCACGTCCCCCACAGTACAGCAAGTGAGCCCTCAACAAATACTTCAACCCATCTCTCTCTCTCTCCATCCCCGATATATCGCTTATTTAAATTTTTAATTTGAGTTAAAATATAATATTTTTAAAATTTTTTTAATTATAACAAAAAAAATTAAACTAACGTTTGATAAAAAGATTTATACTCTGATTTAAATCATAAATATTATAATATTTTTTCTCACAGAAAATACATTTAAATCAAAAATAATTATAATCTTATGATTCTAATCCATAAACTAAACGTCTCCTAAGACTTTATTCATACTTTCCGGACTTAAGTTTTCAATTCAAATTAAGATATGACATTTTCTAAAAACTTTTAACTGTAATAAAAAAATTAAATGTGACATTTTTTAAAAACTTTTAACTGTAAAAACTTAAAACTCAAAATTCAAATCAGTGAAATAAATGATACCTAAATGTGATATTTTCTACAAACTTTTAATTTTAAAAACTTAAAATTAAAAATTCAAATGGTGAAATTAACAAGACCATCGTCTGTGCTTTTACATGTGTGTATATATATAAATATATTAATATGTGTATATATATATATATATATATGCCTCTCCTCTAACCCCGTTTATCTAGTATTTAGGCGTTTATCTACTTTGGAATATTCTTACAGTTTTGGGTGTTATGTGACATTCCAGCACGGAATCCAAGAAAAAGAGATAACGCACGAAGCAAAACAAAACAATGCTGCTTAAGCAGGGGTTGGCAGACGTACATCTATGTAGATGGCAAAGCAATTCCGATAATATTATTAAAAAAAAGCTCCCATTTAATTTAAAACAAGCATATAGAAACAAAAGAAATTATGATTAGTAATTAAATCAAAGAGTAACTAAAATCTCCTTTATTTTACCGATTCAAATTTTTAATTTTAATTTTATTACAGTTAAAAACTCTCACAAAAAATCACATTTAACTTTTTTATTACAATTAAAAACTCACATAAAATCACATTTTATCTCAAATTAAAAACTCAAATCAACAAACAATGCCTAAAAGTTCTTTTTTTGTGTGCGTAATTGCACTTTTATTTGTTTTTCAACTGTCCCATTCTATTATGCATATTTATTTATTTTGATGATGTGATTTTAATAAAATTTAATAGTTAAAAACTTACACTAATAATATGAATCCCTCCCCTATAATTAATAATAAAACCTTTCATTTTTGTGGGGGTTTTTTTTTTTCATCTTTGTGTTTAGGTCTTAATACAGAGGAAGAGTACAAGAAATGGGTCCAAGGAAAGGGCAAACTCCAAGCTAGGTGACAGACACGTGCACGCAATCATGAAGCAGGAAGACCCACGACAGGAACTGATAATGTGTTGTTGTTGTGTGCATGGAAATGACAAGCACTAACTAGACCAGTGGTTTCTAGAGTGTGTTTGGGGGGTTGAACTGGATTAGGGAGTGAGCTGAGCGAGTGAGTTAGTGAGAAGAGCCGGGGGAGATGAGAGAGAATAGGACCGTTTAGTTTACTGATTTGAGTTTTTAATTTGAATTAAGATGTGATTTTATGTGAAAATTTTTTACTGTAATAAAAAAATTAAATGTGATTATTTCTGAGAGTTTTTTACTGTAATAAAACTCAAATTCTAAACTCGAATCAATGAAGTAAACGAGACCTTAAGAACTCTATCCCGTTCATGTTACTAATTCAAATTTTATTACAATAAAAAATTTTAAAAAATAATCGCATCTAACTATTTTATTACGGTAAAAAAAAACACATAAAATTCAATCTCAAATCAAATTAAAAATTCAAATCAACCAACTAAACATACCCTCTATTTTACTAATTCAAATCACAACTTAAAATTTTATTATAATAGTTTCTATTTTCTCTTGTATAAATTCAACTCGAATTTTCAAATTCTCAATTTGAATATGAGCGAAAAAAACGGAGCCTCACTCATGCAAGTAATTGCTACTTGTTAGATACAGAGAGAGAGAGAGACACACTTACACTCACACTGATGAAAAGCTGGTTCCGCAGCGAAAACTGCGGGAGTCCATGTGAAGGCTGGTGGGAAGGTGAGGTGAACACACACACACTTGAGACCACCCGCTCAACACGGGGCTTTTCTATAAAGTTGAAAATTACTTCACTTCTAGACTCTACATTTATAACATTACATCATTTTATTTATTATTATCTCCCCCCCCCCCCTCCCAACTTGCCCATGATGCCCCTATGAGTACTCTCCCGCTTCGCTGGATCTTTTTTCCATTTTCAATAATAGACCTTCTTCTTTAGTTCTTTTCAGTCCAATAAATAAATAAATAAATAAATAAAACCCTCTTCTTTATGCATAGCCCTACCCTAATTGGTACGTTAACGATCACGAACCATATGCAGGAGGAACTTTATACTGGAAGGTCATCCAAGACGACAGTCATAACTTCAAATTTTCAATCCTCTTGTAGAAACCTAACCAAAAACTAGCTGGTAAAGTAATGGGGATGCATGTATCAGAAGTCAGAAATTTACTGAGAAGGAAGACGAGACTAATGGTACTTTTACATAGTTTACCACTATTACGTACAGTATGTATAGTAAAATCCTATGGAACATGTTATCAAACACAGCATAGAGAGAAAGTACCAAATCAGCGCAAGTTCAACACTCCTAGCTAGGGTTCATTTAAAGCTCTAGAATTTTGTGTTCTAACTTCTCTCAATAAGAGACTATATTCAGATGATTAAACTAGATTACCGCGTAATATATATATATATATATATATATATACATATCTATATATGAATAATGTAAAATAGTATTCAAAACCATTTTCCCTCTCCAATTCTTCCTAGAAAATTAATAACAAGTTTTCACTCCTCCATCAACTTCTCTCTCTTTCCTCTATACAATATATATGCTTTCAACTTTCCACCCTATATATCAAACATTGTGTCTAACTATATGTATCATCAGTGATCATTTATAACCCACTACCTTAAAAAAAAGGTCATAACAAAGGATTGCAAGCACCAAAACAATGTTATTGCATCATGTATTAAATCACAAGAACAGACAGATGTAGTCTCATTCTAACCTCATTAAAAAAAAAAAATATGCGTACACATAATATACGGTAAATGCACGTGCATGCTATATGCCTATATATGAATATTGATCCTTGAGTGCAGTTCAAAACGACAAAACTTGCTTGTCCAAAAGTTGGTTTTTTTTTTTTTTTTTAGAGTGGAAAGATGGGACACGACTTCAACTATGGCTTCTTTTGTGAAATAACGATGGACAAGCTCAAGCCACCAAAACCGTTTCCTAGGATTCACATTAATCACCATTGAGTTACCAATAAATATACTAGCTAGATATGAGTATGAGTATAATATACAATACAATAAAGACAATCGATTTAATACATTTTATACATAAATAGATTGTGAAGTTGCCTTACATGATAGGAGCTAAATATGTAATGTGCGTGTGTGTAGATTTGGCAAACATTCAAAGAAACGGAAGAATCAATATTCATATCATGCAAAGATTAAACAGGAATATAACAATAACTTTTCCTATGAGAAGACCAATTTCTTAAATATTGATGATGATATGCAAGTAAGTGGAGAGGAAAGCAAAAGAATAAACAAAGTACAAGCAACAACCAGAGAATGGCATATTAATTTAACTAAAAGAAGGATTACGAACGCAGCAATTAGGGAATATGCAAACGCTAACAGTCCTTATTAAAGAGACGCAAAAAGTTTAACAAACAAGCAGATTGAGATCGGCAAATAGCTAGACACCCTTGTACACCAACCAAGCACGTGAATATATGCCAATTTAGTGTCCCAGTGGACATCTGTAATGGTCGCATGTATAAGAATGTTTCTCCTTTTTCTTTTCTTTTCCTTCTCTTAAACTTTATTTTAATATTCGAATCTTAGTTTTACTAAAGAAGATTAAGCAAAATCCAAGTTAGACATCCAAGAAAACAAACACAATATTTAGTCCAGTTAAAAAAAAGGTGTAAAACCACATATCTTTGAAAAGGTATGTTGTACTTCCCCACATAAAAAAATAATAGTTGCCAACCGTAAACAGCCAGATTACTGTGATCCATAATCCTTCTGCTAACTACTATTTTTTTCACTAATCATCGCCACTTGGAACTTCTAAAGCTGCAGTTTTTAATTTAATTACCTCCACATTTATCAAATGGAAACATAATCAGCTTTTCTCTGTTGGAGATGCCTAAAAAATGTATGAATCTTTGATATAATAAAAGCAAAGAAACAACAAAAGCAATTGTACTTGGCGTTAATATATGCGATTTGTAACAAGTCGATCTACAAGGAAGTGGATAGAAAAGCTACATAAAGCATTAAAGAAGGACGATAAGACTTAATTCGCACAAGAAAAAAAAAATCAAAAGAACTGGATATTGAAGAAACAAAAGGCCAGAAAACATCATGATCAGGCGCCAACATGATTACTTTAAGAAAGCCACTTTGACAAAACCCTCACGTGATTAGTAAGATTCGCATGCCAATCGTAATTCTCTAGCTAGTGATGATATTCAAGCTAAATCCAAAAGTGAAATGCATTTAACATGGACTATATAGTATAAAATATATTTCATATACAACCCATGATATTGATACCAAAGACAACTTTGAAATTAGTATTAGCTGTATCATTAGCTTAGCTATACAAACAACCAGTAAGCAATTTCCAAGGCCAATTTTTAATGACCTATAGCTCCCACCATATCTTATCTTACACCCATATGCTCCATTGGAACTTGAGACAACATAAAGAAACTGACCAGACATCATTGCATGCCATTACCATAAAGGATTATTAATACTCAGCAGACTCCTGGGTGGATTATATAAAAAATACGAGCCTATATTCTATTGTCTCTAAAATATAAGTTTGTGGATTATTTGAAAATTTTGCTTTCACATTAGACTCACTTTCTTATGGAGAGTTCATCTAGAAGGCAACATTTTCAAATTTTCAAGTCTCTAAAATTAATAATTTACCAACTGAAGTACGATACATAGTTCTTTAAACTAGTTAAATGTTGTAAAAGCATAAATAAAACCGATTAATTACAATACACCACGATGATAACTGACATATTGTTTAATTATATAATTATTTCACTCGGCTATTCATAGAGAAGTAAACTTTTGAATTGAAATCAGCAGCACCAATCAAATGTTTCTCTATTTTTGGAAAAAAAAAAAACAACATTTTTCTTTCTATTATGGAGATAACTAAGAAAGAACATATACCACCGGAATGACTACAATTTGGACACTTTTTAATAATGTTATCTAATATAACAAGACATGCACTAATGAAATTATTCATAGAGAAATTTCAAATTTGATCCAAAGTACATAAAACATTTGATTACTCTGAAATGAAAAAAGATCACCACAAGAAGGAAAATCAAGAAACACAAGTAAAGAGAAACGAGAAAATAATAATAATAATAATAATAGTAGTAATATTTTATTTTTCACCATTATAGGAAAGTGATCAAGGGAAAAAAAAAAAAAAAAAGCATTTGAGGAGTGCCGAAGTACCACCTACATTGAAAGCTGCTGTGACTAGGATTCTTAGGGAAAAGGGAAAAAAAAATAAAAATTAACCGTCACTGTGTAACAACACTCGGATTACTATTTGAGATGTCACCACAGATCTCTGAAACGTCAAAATCAGAATCTCCAATGCGGAAAAAGCTTGGCGCATTTCAGATTGAAAGACAATAATGAATGATAAAGATAAAGGGGATAAGAGGCAAAGGCAAACAAACAGAAGAAACAAGATGTGGGTTTTGCAAACTCATAGAATACTTAAAACCCAAGTGCCAAACAAACAAATGCAGATCAAAAGAAAGTATAATTTTCTCTTCTCGACACTGTTACCAAGGTACATCAGTGCACTTAAGTACACTTTAAAGCTTTCTTGTATGGGCAATGAAGGAAGAGCAAGACATGCAATGACAAATATATAGATTATCGATCCCACACAAACACATAAAGAAAAACTATACGTTTTCTTTTTGCTGAAAGCCTAAAGAAAGAAACTACACATTAATAAACTTGTAATAATGATGATGATGACCATACGCGTATACACAAATAAAAGAAATTCAAAACTATTACAATATAAATGCACATAACTCCAAAGAAAAGAAAGAAACAATCACAAAAAAAAAAAAAAAAAAATGAATATACCTAAGTGGGAGAGTGGTGTTTCATTTCTAGGGTTTTTCGCCGTTTCTTTTTGTCACATAATATAAAATCGAAATACCTGAAAATTGTGTAATTCTGAGAATATTATTGATGCGGGTCGTTCGCTTAAACAGGAAAAAGATAGGTTCTAGTTATACGAGAAACGACGAAGACCAGGAATTAGAAGTAGGAGAAGTATTATTGGAGCTGACTATTAATTAATGACCGCCTCGTGCTGCTCATGACAATCAGGTCCTGGGTATTGTTTTCATGAATATATCACGAACAAAAAATTAATCACGCTAACGTGCGCCAAACGAACACTAGAAATAGCGGAGAGAAGATCACAAAAACAAAAGTTAAGCTTATATATATAGATATAATATAAATATATATATGAATTGTTTGTTCTTTTGTCTGTAAGCGAGCACAGCGATGGAAAGGAAACTAACAAAGAGAACATAATAAACCATCAATATTCTTAAAGAGAGAAAGATTAGGAAGAAAGGAGGAGAGAGAACTGACCGGAAAGGCCTCTGGTATTGGTGGCACTGGTGCAGAGATTGCTCAGTTGGGTTTCGATCTTCTTCAGGAAAGTGGTCGCTTCATCAAAAGGCCTCGCGAGATCCGATTTATACTTCACCAACATGTCACAGTAGGTTTCCTATTTTGACAAACAAATCCAAATTTATTTAAAAAAAAAAAAAAAAACACAAAATTATGTATCATAAACTTTTTTTATTATTATTTCAAACAAAGAAATTGAAGAGTTACTAGTAGTAGTCAAGAGACTGAAGTCATGAAGTCCAATTTTTCTTTTCTTTTCTTTATTTTTATTTTTTTTGGGTTTGTGTAAAGCGGCAAATTAAAAGAAAATTATTTTTGTAGAAAGAGAAGTTTATAAGTTAGGCGGGGGGACCATAAACTCGTCAAGCTCGGGATCGGCTCCTAAGCACGTGGAGATTATAGAAGACTCGCGCTTATAAAGCTCGTTTTTTCTGCGGATTTCGTCCAAAAAACTCGCTATCTCCGGAGGCGCACCAACCTATCATATACATATATATATATATATATGTATGTATACACACACAATGATCATGTATCAACAAGCAATTAACAAACAAATTACGATCATCTTTTTTTCGTTAACCGAAAATCAAATTTCCAAATTAAGAAGTTTCTAGACCTTTTGGCAATCGATGTAGGCTTGGAGGAGGCGAGGATAGGTAGGGTGAGAGGCGATTTTGGCCTTGATGAGTCTGGAGACGTCTTCTTCGCGTTGGAAATCGGGAGTTATGGAAGCGGCTTCGGAGATGGCGGAGGCGGCGGAGAGGAACTCGTCGGATCCGAAAAACGGAAGGCGATCGCGGAACGCCGACGAGGAGAGCAGCGCCTGGTACTCCGACGGAAGGATCAGATTCTCCGGCGACATCAGCGCCTTGTCGGAGTACTCCGTCGCCGTCGCCGTCGCCGTCGTCGGTTGGAGGCCATACATTTCGTCCATTTTCGCAAAAGCTTATCCTCTTCTTCTTCTTATCTTTCTTCTAGAAGACGGACGAGAGGAAAAGACCAGCCAAGTTGTTGATGATTTACTGCTTCTTAACAGTAATGAGAAAGGTCCTTAAATTATGTAAGTGATTATATTAGGGAAACAGAAACAGAAACAAAAATTAAAAAGGAGCAAACAAAAAAAGAAAAAAAGGGGGAAAAAAAAAAGATCGTGTTTTTATTATTTTTGTAATTTGGAAGTTGAAATTTTTACGACTGAGAGACTTGGGATTTTCGGGGAATTGGAGTAGCAGAGGGTAACTGGAAGTGGAAGTCTTCTTCTTCTTGGAGAGTGTGCTGATTTTATGGAAGGGAGATGCTTGAGACCGAGGCTGTCAAGCTGAGCTTATTGTTTTTTTTTTTCTTTTCTTTCTTTCTTTTTTTAATTAGAATAATTTTTCTAATAAAAAATAAAGAAATGAAGAAAAATTCTTGCTTATGAGTCTCCCGTGTGTTCTTTTTCTTTTGTTTTTTTTCCTCTTTTTAGGGGTTAATTACAGCACTACTGAATTCTAAAAGGAATAGAAAACCCCACATGTCTGCGAGCTAAGTCATATTGACCTCAAAACTGGCAGAGCAGCCTTATTAAATGCCAATATTGACCTTCCCTTCTATGCACTATTAAATATGTTAATTTCTGAAATATTAGCCCCTTCATTTAATTTTGATAATTCTTTTGTTACTTCTCCACTTCCATTGGAACCGGGGGGTTTATTTGATCAGCAATCGGGGTGTTTATTATCTACCGGTAAAATATGCTGATTGATTTTATAAAAGTAAATTTTGCTTACTGAATACTGTATATGATTTACTATAATCTTTATGGGTGTTTAGTTTAAGCCCCGTTCATTTCACCGATTTGAATTTTCAGTTTTAGGTTTATACAGTAAAAAGCTCACAGAAAATATCACATGTAACTTTTTTTGCTACAGTAAAAAACTTTCAGAAAATGTCACATCTCAGCTCGAATTGAAAACTCGAATCCGCGAGGTGAACGAGGCCTAGTTTCGTTTCTAAAACGTTTTTCACGTTTTTTAAGAAAAAAATAAAATTAAAAACAAAACGGTGTTTATTTAATAAATATTTTAAAAACGAAAATGAAAACAGTGAAAATGATTTTTATAAAGGAATTTAGAAAATAATTGAAATTTGTTTTCACTTTTCTGTTTTCATTTTCTAATACTTATCAATAATATTATAATATATTAATTAATAATTATAATCAAATAATATTTTACTTTTTTATTATACTCAAAATAATTATTTAAAAAATTAACCAAATACAATTTCAAAATTATTTTAAGAATAATTTTTAAAACAATCTCATGTTTATTTTTTATTAAAAACAAATTCATTTTAAAACTAATTTCAAAATCACCTTATATTTTTTTTTCTATGAGGTAAATATGGAGAGGCTTTGAGTCAAAGACTCCTATAAAAAAGGAAAGGTAACAACCATCAAGCGTCCTTGGAGGGACAGAAATTTATTAACAATATTAAATGGTTAATAGTGTCACACTATTATTGGAATTCCAATTATATAAAATAAAATAGTACCACACTCTTATACCGGACTTTTCTACATATTAAATTATAATGTAGCTTTCAGGGGGAGAAAAAAAAAAAAAACACGTATCTGAGAATTTCAATCAGTGAGTCTTACTTATATGTAAAATGGTTATACCCTCAAAAGAGTACTAATTTATTAACTATTTAAATTTGTGTATGAAAGTAAGTTCTTCGTAGGATTATGAACTCATAAACTCTGTAGTATCGTACATAATATATTCCCATTAATAATCAAATAATTGTTTAATTCTAAACTAATCCGAACTGTAGTTTGGCTCTTATATCAATTTGTTTTATCTCAATAGATGTTGTATGTGAGTTTTCACGATTCAATTAGATATTATAATAAATTCATTTATAGGTAAAAGTGACAAGTAATTTTAAAAATTTACGAATACGGTGAGAATTATTTGATTAGGTAGGAAAAAATACCGTAAGTTATGGGTCATTGTTTTTAACATTCATGTCTTTATTAATCAATTTTTATGATTTTTGTATACTTTTTGTTTTTGAGATAATATTGAGCAAATCAAACATTTAATAAAACATTAAACATCATAACATAAAAATTTCCTTCATATAACTAGTCCTGGCCAATAAGAACAGAAGCTGAGTCTGCTCAAATGTGAGAAATGAGAATGCTTTATCAAGACAGGACTAATTAATAGCAGTTGTATGTACGGGAGAATAAAAACAGTTTCACCCATGTATACAGCATTTACAACTTAGCTTAAAGTCCAATTTTAACTATCTAATGCACATCTAGCCATACAATAAAATATATAAAAACAAGGAATAAATTATGAATAGTATATTCTTTTTTTTTAATCTTACAATCAATCCATATAATTAATTTTGTCTTATATGTAGTTATTAAAGCCATAAAGTGAAAAAGTGAATGGCTCCTAATTAATTTTGGATGAATTGTCCTAAAGTTGAAATTTGAACCTTTTAGTCCCTAAACTTAAAAAACGTTAAATATATGGATAAAAAAAACATTATATGGGAGAAGTTGTAACAAATTAATTTAGTCATAAACTAACAAAAAGAGGTGGCAAAGTTGTTTCTCACTTAAATAAATGAATAAAAATAAATAAATGTGACAATCATGTTCAAAATCATTTTTTAAACAGTTTTTTGGGTTTTTGTTTTCAAAAATAAACACGTTAGGTAATTTTTTATTTTCTTTTTTTCCTAAAATTATTCTTAATATTTTATTTAAATTTATTTTAATAAATACCCCTTATACCCCAAAAGGATTTAGGATATATTAGTGGATTCTCCTAAAAACATTAATAAAACTTCGAACAGTGAGTGTAAATTGACGTTGTCTGAAAGTGGAGAAAAATGTCTTTAATTAAAAAGATTGTGAAGAAAAATGTCTCTCTCTATCTCTTTTTTTTTCTTTTCTTTTTTTTCGGGGTTATAAACGTACAAATGTAAAGGATTACCTAGATGGTTTCTAATATATTGTCCCCTAGTTTGTTTTAGTTGGATTAGTTCGATTCTATGGTTGCAAAAAAAGTCGACATTAATTTTCCAGTTTAAAAAAAAAATCGACAATAATGAACTCAACAAACACATACTAGGACCCACTAAGATATGGGATTAATACGAGTATAATAAAACTGACATTTTATGAACGCAAATTCGCCCTGATTATGCTCAATAAAGAGGAACCAAACTAGAAAGGGAAATTAAAAAAAAATGAATCGAATATGTGATGTAAGGTAGTGGGGTATAAAAAGTATAAAACCCGACTTGTACTATTTATGGCCCGTTTAGTTCGTTGATTCAAATTTTAAATTTGAGTTGAGATGTAATTTTATGTGAGAGTTTTTTACTGTAGTAAAAAAGTTATATGTGATTGTTTTTGAAAATTTATTACTGTAATAAAAGTCAAATTTTAAATTCAAATTGGTGAAATAAACGGGACTTTAATAAACTTATGATTACGGAGGCAGCAATTGGAAACTGATCATGAATTTGTGTGAGTTTACGATGAAAAAAAAAAAGAAGAGTGTATTCTACTTACTGTGGTACCCAATATATCATCCTCCATATCACAGAGTATTCGTGCTGATCTTCTATCCAAATCACGTGACAATTATTCTACCATGAAAAAAAAAAAGAGTCACATGACAATTACTCCAAAAGATAAAGAATAGTATTATTATTAATTAATATTTTTTGAGTCTTATTAAGTAGTATATTACAATTTAATATTATTTTGTTGAGGGTCTTATTAAGCACAATAAAAATTAAAACACAATTTAGATCTGCTGCCTTGATTATTGTATTTCATTTTTTTCTATATAGCATAAAACTTTTTAAACCGGTTTATCTTTTTCTGGTAGACAATATTGCTAAAACCAATTTATGACTGTTAATTCTTGTTAAAATCATATTAAATGAAAAAAATGTACAGTTAAAAAATAAAAAATTAGTGATAATTTATTTTTTTCAATCATACGAGAGAAACTCATGAATTAAATTTTTTATTAATTATTTTTTTAGTCTTATTAGAAAAACTCTCTACAATCTTTCAATTTTATATACTCTCTAATTTTAATTTGATTCAAGGCCCCGTTTTTTTCGCAGATTCGAGTTTAGAATTCGAGTTTTGCTATAGTAAAAAGCTCTTAGAAACAGTCACATATAATTTTTGTACTACAGTAAAAAGCTCTCACACAATATCATATCTCAACTCAAATTAAAAACTCAAATTAACGAACCGAACGACGTACTACCGATAAAATATCTTAATTATAGTAGAAAGTTATGATATTAGTCAGGAGCATCACAACAACTAATAAAAAGTTTAATTTAATTAGTGGATCTGATATTGTGAGCCCCGTCCTTTATTAGCGTGTGCTACATATCTCTTAAGCATTATTCGTGTCAATTAGATAGTCTATTACGCTTTCTCCTACATGGCATATTTCCTTTCACTACGCTAACCAATCATTTCTTTTCACCCCGTCATCATTAGCTTTCAACTGTCTTTAATGCTATCTTATCTTATGTTTGGTAGGATGAACAGAAAAGAAGAAAAAAAAAAGAGAAGTAAAATATTTAGGTGAAAAAAATAACATGATTTTCTCTCATGTTGTTTGATAGAATAGCAAAAAAAGTGAAAAAAAATGTTAAATTTAAAGTATTTTACAATAATACTCTAATACAAATAATAATATGATGAATAATAAAAGTTAAAATTGTTATTTTATATCTCATTTTATTATCAAAATTTTTCCTCTTATTTTCTTTCTAAAGTTATAAGGATTAAAAATTTGTGGGTTCTATGAATTTTTATTTTTATTTATTTTTCATTTTTTCTATACTAAACAACCTAAAATTATATTTGCTTCTATAAAATTCTTCATCTATTTTTCACTTTACCAAACACACTGAAAGAAGTAGTGGAAACCATAGTCTTTAACAGTGACTAGCCTAAAGCCTTCTTCTAATCTAGTTGTATTCGTATTAATTACAATTTGACCTTTTTGAAGGTCACATTTTCATTAAAATGCTTTTGAGGGTTGATTTAAATTTATTGTACCGTCGAAAATTCAAGGCGAAGCTGTTCATGACTGATGACTCTTCTATACGAATAACGTTATAAAATATTGATAGTGTTTAGTACTATCTATTATATTAATGTGAGTTTTTTAATGTGAGACTTATAAATAAAACTTATTTTTTTATCAGTAATAGTATTTAATACTGGTAGTATTCTTAAGCACTTATATATATATATATATATATATATATATAAATCACGTCTATAAAAGTTAGAGAAGAGGAATTTGACTTTATTTTTTATCCTAACTATTAGTATCTAACCACATAGATTTGATATTGTTACTACTGTGACTAGAAGATTTGTAT